AATCTGAGTTTGGTATTCAGAGAAGATATAGGCATTCAAGTTCTGATTTTGCTCTTCACTCGTTGTGTGACCATGGCAAGTTATCTAACTCTTGTAAACCTGTTTTCTCAAACCTAAAATGTGGCTAATAAGGATATGAGCATAAAATAAGTTAATGTTCCTACATCCTAAGCATGGTGTCTGGCATATAGTAAGGTCTTAGTAAATGCAAGTGATTTTGTATTGCTGTGATTATTAACTTGTTCTTGAATGGGACATAACTGAACATAGGTCTTCTGATAAACAACAGAAAAATGAGGTACCATAGGGTAAACCATATCTTATAAATCACATTATTTGGTTCATATTACTCTATATGTGTTCATTTCTCTTTGTTACCTCATCTTTAGGGAAGTCATAAAAGCACAGTAGTTAAGACTGCAGGCTCAATAGAGAACAGTATTGTCTTAGTCACTTGGAATGAGCTGGATAGTCAGTTTCCATGTTCCCATACCTTCCCATATAATCAGCTCTGCTAGTGATAACAGTTAACTTCTTCCTGGGTACCAACCACTATTCTGAACACTTTACAGCTATTAATTCATATAAATCCCTAGCCCTAGAAGGTGGTTACCAGTGTTGCCTCCATTTGTACAGGTGACAAAACTGCAGCACAGAGAGGTTCGGTACTTGCCCGAGGATGACCCTGTTGATCAGTGGTGGAGCTGGAATTCCATCGCAGGCAGCCTGGTTACACAGTGTGTGTCTACCGTTTCATTCTAATTTCATTGGAGGCTACACGATTGTATGTAAACGGCCCCATCTAAGTCATCCCTGCTTTTCAGCGATGGGGATAGTAAAAAGGTGGCATCGGTTCCCTTCCCCAGCAGTTCCTCAGTGATCGGTGATTTGTGTTGGGTGTCCGGTTTTCACATCCTACTTCCAACCACCAGCCACTCTGTTGCTTCATGAAAAATTTGAAAAACAGAGTGATCCTGTCCTCTTAACTACAAATATTAGTCATTAAAATACAAACCTTAACGGTTAGGTCCTTTGGTGCTTATGCCCAGAGAAGGAAGAGTCATTTCTGTATTGAGATGTCTAAGAAGTCCCCCATGCTTAGCAGGAAAACGAAGCCCAGCACGGGCAAAATGCTGTCTGCCTCAGACCCTGAGTGAGTGTGTATAAATAGAACAGTTGGTGTGCATGGCCTGAATGGTACAGCTTCCCCTTTTCTATGCAGTGTAAATCACCAATGTGAGCATTTCCATCTGACACAAACTGTCAGTCGCAGAAGAGCACATTGTAGGATTCAATACATGTTACACAACAACTAAGACTGCCCTTTTCTTCAGCATGGTGATTTTTTTCTTTTCTTTCCATATCCAGCAGTTAGTACTGAGGCCTGAAACCCTTAGTTACAGAACAAAGTGGCTTAGCAGTAATCAAGCCTGTGTGAGGCTAAGGGAAGAATAATGAATGTTCCCTGCAAGCTTCCTGCCTAGATGCAGGTGCAGGAATCAGGGGGTCATGAATAATGCATGGCATGCAGATGAGATGGTAGTTTCTCCTACTGGGGTTTTGACTTTGCTACCTGCCTGGCTGCTACATGTGGAAAGATGGCAGGCCATGGCAAAAGTGCTGCAACAAAGACTTGAAAGACTGAGCTCACGAAAAACACTGCCTAGCCTTTTGAAGAAACAAAATTTGAGAGAGAGCTGAAATGTAAACATTTATGGTATACTTTATTAGCTGAAATAAGCTCCAGGTTATCCATTTACTAATTTGGGGCAGGGGGAAAAATGTCTTGTTTTACCATTTTAACTGAAGAAATGCTATCATTTTAGGAATTCTTTGAAGACTGTCAGTTACAGAATTCACCTGCTTATAGTATTTGCTCCATGGATGGGTCAATGAAGTGTTACTGCAAGATACAAATACCTAGAGAACATTCTAATTAAAGGTTAAACAGGCCTGTTTTTCTCTGCTGATATATGCAATGAGAACCATCAATAAGAACATTTATTTACTAGTAAACTTCAACAGGCGGAATGATCGTGATGAATAGAAATACCAGGGTTAAGGAGGAAGCAATAAAAGAGGTTAACATTTAAAGGCTATAGAGTGAATTAAATAACTGCATTTGGTCTATTACTTTCTAAAGCTTTATTTGGGCAGCATAACTCTGACACCCCAGTGGGGACATAGAGAAGGTTCAAGAGGATTTCCGGCGTTTCCCCTTAGGACAGGGCCTTTAACTGGGGAGACATTTTTTTGGCTCAGAGTTTCATTGTGATGACTGTATTTTCAAGCAGACAAACTGAAAGAAATAAAAAAGAAGAAAAAAAGAGAGTTTTGCTACCTGTCCTATACCTCCTACACATTTTTACGACATGTTTTTTTTCCTCTCTCCTCAACTTGGGATGCTGGACTAGGATCAGGCTTTCATTTCTAGCCCAGTCTGTCATTTCCGCTAGGCCCCAGGTTGGCCCAATGCCAAGACCAACAGGTGATCCTTGTAGCTGCAAAACAGCAGGAAGCGGGCCTTGCTTGAATGAGACAGTTCACCAGAGGGGCTGTCTGGCCTCTCTCCATCTTTCTGCATAATTAACATCCCCTCCCCCATGCAGAGCAGAAAATCTGTGCTGAGCAGCTCAGCTGCAGCAGCCATTGAGAAGTGCTGTGAGGAAAAGAATGTTAATAAGGGATGTTGGAAGAAGAAATAAGCCTTCCGGGTGCAAAGTGCAGTCTGGCTCTGGCTTTACTGAAAGACTGCAAGTTGGCCCTTCTGAGTGGCTAGCACTGTATTATGTATTTTGAAATGATTTCCACTTGCTGAACACCCATGGAAAACGGGACTCTAAGGAACCTGGGAGCTTTGGGTTCTAACCGGACTTAAACAGGAGTTTAAAATCCATGTTTTCTTTCTTGTCTTGTAAATAAAAAGTAATGTCTGAGACATAAAGAGTCAAGATAAGACAAGCTAAAACACTGCCTAGACCTCACAAATCCTAGTAATGTTAGAACGAAGCAGGAAGTTGGCCAGGAGGAAGCAGGAAGTAGAGCATGGGGTGTTGCCAGTGAGTGAGCCACAGAAAGGGGGAGGTTCAGTGGCTGGCTTGTGATTGAAAGATGTCAGGACGTCATGGACATTTAAAAGGTTTGCAGTGGATGACTCCATTCCAGGAAGCTTGTAAACCAGTCTAGTCTTTACTTTGAATTGACTTTCCATTCCTCAAAGCCCAAAGCTGTAGAGCATCACAACTAGAAGGTCTTTTTCTTAGAAATAACTATTGGCCCCTCCTTCCTCCTCCAGATTCTGTTCCTGGATATTTGGATTAAATTATTGTAGGGGAGGAAAAAAGTTTTTCCTGTATCCACCCAGATTCAGTGGGGGAGGAGGCTGAAAATTAAATTGACAAAAGACAAATTAGCAAGAGACAAAAAAAAAAACCAGCAGTATATGTATAACATGCAAACATGTAAAAGTACTTAATGATAAGTAACACAAAAGGCGATTAGAATTTGGAGCTCTATACCACTAGAGGCCTGGTGTACGAAATTCATGCACAGGAGGCAGGGTGTCCCTCAGTCCAGCCTGCACACTCTCCAATCTGGGACCCCTTGAGGGATGTTCGATAAGATCGGGCCTTAAAAGCCAGTCAGACATCCCTCTCACAATCCAGCTCTGCTGACTCCCAACTGCTCACCTGCCTGCCTTCCTGATTGCCCCTAACTGCTTCTGCCTAACAGCCTGATCACCCCCTTACCACTCCCCTGCCATACTGATTGATGCCTAACAGCTCCCTTGTCAGCATGTTTGCCCCTAACTGCCCTCCCCTGCAAGCCTGCCCCCCCCCCAACTGCTCTCCCCTGCAGGCCTGGGTCTCCCCCTCCCCAACTGCCTTTCCCTGCAGGCTTGGTCGCCCCCAACTTCCCTCTTCTGACAGCCTGGTCACCCCTATCTGCCCTCCCTTGCAGGCCTGGTCCCTCCCAACTGCCTTTCCCTGCTGGCCATCTTGTGGTGGCCATTTTGTGTCCACATGGGAGAAGCCATTTTTGACCACATGGGGGCAGCCATCTTGTGTGTTGAAGTGATGGTCAATTTCCAAATTACTCTTTTATTAGATAGGATTTAACAAAGGCTGATAAAGTGTGGAGAAAGGACTAGTCAAAAGAAAGGGGGTCTGGGCTTCAATGGGGGATAAATTGTAAGAAGATGACTAGGAAACATAGAAAAGGTAATGGTAAATAAGGGTATTTTTTTAGGCAAACTCATTTCAGTACCAACTCTGGTGATAAAAGTTATATCATGAAATACTCTTCCTGGTGTGGGAGAGAAGGACACCTTTATAAGTGCAAATTTTCTTTCCAAAAGATAAGTTTATGTCCTGCTATTAGGCCTGTAAAAAGAGGATAGAGAGCTCCTCCTATGTCTGCTGTTTCTCAATTACTTTTAGCTGAAAATAATCCTCATGCCAAAGTAGCATATTTTGGAGTGGCATATCCTGATCCCCTCATTTTCTTGCTTTTTTAAGTCTAGAAGTTAACTGAGGAAGTGTACACTTAGAGTGTACACTTAGAGCTTTGGTTAATCTCTTCCTGCCCTCCCTCCTCCCGCCATGTGGGAATAGGTAGCAGAAAGGGCCTATTTGGGGCAGGTCCATACTTTACATTATTTTTACCCACTCCGAAAACTCACAAGGTATAGGTAGCCAGCAACTCTTTGTTGGATTGAATGAATGAAATCAGGTGATTAAAACTGCTGGTCCTTTTAAAACTGGGGGTCTTCACAGTGAACATATGAGAAATCCTTGTCCTATTATTGGTGGTACAGAAGGGAAATGGCATAGGTTTGCAGGCATAGGACCTTACCTGCATCCATTTACTAAGAGGTGATCGAGTCCTTGGGGATTCGATAGTAAAGTAAATCTAAAATATTATTTATAAACCAGATTCCTTTTTACTTGTTCGTTTGTAATTGGGAATATGCTTTTTCATTTACTCTCATCTACTTACAGGGTACATCCGTCCCCAGTATCAAGGGTCAGGGGAAGTCGAATGAATAATCAGAAGTTTTCTTGGTGAGTACACAGTCTAAATTATGACAATGTTTAAGTTTTATGGGAAATCGTAATATATCTGTGTTACAACAAAATAATTATTTCTGCTCCTCTGCAGAGCAGCAATTTTCAACAGGTGTGCCTCAAGAATTCTTAAAGCATATAATACCTGACTATTTAGTCAGGGACACTGACCTCTTTTAGATTATGAAAAAAAAAAAAAAAAAAATGACAATGGTTAAAACAACAATAGCCCTCTGGGGTGAATGTATCAAAATTAAACCTACTGTTTTTGTGTTTGTGTCAGATCAGCAAAAAATGTAATACATTTTTGGCATGCTGCAGAATTTTAGTAATTAGTTTAGGTGTGCCATGAAATGAAAAATTTTGAAAGTCCTACAGAGAATGTGTTTCTACTAACTGAATTACATTCTCTCCCTTTCCTTTGGAAAATTCCTTTCCAGCCAAAACTCTTTACTCACTAAAAACTGAACTTAATATTTTTTTTAATAACAGATATAATATATTTCCCAGGATTGTCAACTGTTAAATTGAAAAAAAAAAAATCTTTACCCATTTTGGAAAATACTATAAGCTTTTTAAGTGATTTTTAGGCAATAATACAGATTTTTTTTTCAGGCACCAACTTCTACTTCTCAGGAAGATTTTCATAGTAAAGTAATTCTATACTAATAAAAGGGTAATATGCTAATTAGACTGGTCAACTGGACATTTTCCAAATGTCCAACTTCCTTCTAGACAAAGCCACGGTGGTGAAGGCTGAGGCAGAAGCGATTAGGGGCAATCAGGTCGTCAGGGGAGCAAGCAGTTAGTGGGTGATCAGGCCAGTGCAGGGGAGGGCATTTGGGAGCGATCAGGCCAGCAGGCAGAGGCTGTTAGGGGCAATTAGGCAAGCAATTAGAAACCAGTGGTCCTGGATTGTGAGAGGGATGGTCAACTGCCAGTTTAGGCCTGAATCCTGTAGGATCCTGTAGGCCTATACCAGCAGTCAGACATCCCCCAGAGGGGTCCTAGATTGAGAGGGTGCAGGTTGAGCTAAGTGACAACCCCTTCTCCCTGGTGCATGAATTTCATGCACCCGGCCTCTACTCTACATATATGTAAAAGCCCAAGTGACTATTACAATCAGATGACCTGACGGCTGGCCAATAGCTATGACATGCACTGACCATCAGGGCTGGTCAGGGCATTCCCACAGCCAACCTCCACACGGTTCCTTCCCTGAGCCAGTCAGTCCCATCAGCCCCAAATCAGCACAGGGACCCCACCTGTGCATGAATTTGTGCACCGAGCCTCTAGTCTATTATATTAATTTTGCTGATTAATATTTAGATGTGTATGTGTTTTTCTGATGGGGCTTTAAGTATCCAGGGATTTTATTTTTAAACTAGAGGCCTGGTGCACGAATTCCTGCACCAGTGGGGTCCCTCAGCCTGGCCTGTGGGGATCAGGCAGAAACTGGCTCTCCAACATCTCCTGAGGGATCCTGGATTACAAGAAGGCATAGGCCAGGCCAAGGGACCCCACCAGTGCACAAATCCATACACTGGGCATGTAAGAGTTTTGGTTAATCTCTTCCTGCCCTCCACCTCCCCGCATCCCTCTGAGATTTATCAGTCTGTTCCATGTTTCTATGCTTATGGTTTTCACTCTTACGTTGAGTGCTTTCCCCCAGGTGGTCAGTGCATGTCATAGCTACCAATCTGATGGTTGCTTAGGCTTTTATATATATAGAGAGAAAGATATAGATAGATAGACAGATAGATAGATGATAGATAGATAGATTTGGGGAATACAAATATCTTCTTTCACTGACCAGCTTTTGAACAGACATATAGATGGAAATTATCACAAATGACCTGAAAAGTTAGTTCAACCACAAATTATTGATTGATTCTATAAAAGAGCAATTTAAGATGTTTTATAAATGTTTTATGTGAAACAAAAAAATTAATTAAATAATGTAGGTTTAAAACCCATTATGTTCAAATTAACTACTCCATTGCACAAAATTACTCTTTCTAAACATACTAGTAATGTATCTTCATAAGAGAAGGAAAGAAAGAAGGATTGATTGAACTTGAACTGTGTACTGCTTACTTCAGAACTAAGTGAAAATGCACAGGTATCCATTTTTACTTCACTGAATTGCGCTTAGAATGGGATTTTGATTAAAAAATCGTGGCTTTTTTTTTTAAGTATGGGAAGATGATTACTGAAGCTTGAGCTTCCAAATTAATTTTATTCCTAAATCAGGATTATTTTTAGACACATAATAATGATTCTTTGAATTTGAATGGTGTCTAATCAGCTCACTTCCCTTCCCCCATTAAATCGAATTAACCCTCACAATAGCTTGGTGCTGTTGTTAAATAGCATGCTTTTCTTCATTTACAGAGAGGGAAAAGGAACACAAATGAAGCAGCTATTTGCTTACACTCTGTCTAAAAGCTGGGGCCTCCTACATGCTTTCTTGCCATCACTAAAGCATATTGTCCCCTGTCCAACCTAGGAAGCTGAGGGGAAAATGGCGCTGATGCTCATTATATTAAAGAACAGGGAGAACTGGGGCTTTTCCTGAGAGCAGGGAATTGATATTCCTTCTCAGCACACAGCATATTGCACTAAAGAAACTTTATTACATGTAAAGACTATGAGATGCTCATGTGAGCAATATAAGTTAACAGATAGAGTGCAACAATGTCAGTTATGAGATCTAGTTTCTACAATTTGTTTTACTAATTGTGGGACATTGAGTAAATAAAAAATATTATTTTCTTCACTTTTGCTTCCTGGAGGATTAATGATAACTCATTCCTACATTACTTATAGCACATTATTCAGTAAGTTCAAACTACTTTTTTTTTTTTTTTTCTGAGAAGTGAGCCATGAAAAACAGAAAAGATTTTTACTATTAGCCTTGGTAAAATTCAACTTTTATTTACTCAGCAATTTTATTTACTATCCCTGGCTGTGTGCAAAGTGCTAGATTAATAAAATAAATAAAACATGGTTTCTGTTCTCAAGGGGCAAACTCAAGGGTCTTGTAGGGTGTGGGTAGGTCATCAGACATGTAATATGCAATATTATGTGATGTTATATAGATAATACATATAAAAATGCTCTAAGGAGATATATAATGTGCAGAGGGAAATATCATCAACTCTAATACTAATTTGAGAGTAGGTACCCTGTTTCCCCAAAAATAAGACAGTGTCTTATATTAATTTTTGCTCCCAAAGATGCGCTAGGTCTTATTTTCAGAGGATGTCTTATTTTTCCATGAAGAAGAATACGGTACACAATTATTTTTAAATGAATATAAAGGAAATTTATTACCTGTATACGGTACAGTAGTATGGTAGTTGTCAACACAAAACAGACAAACTGTGAATCCTACGGTATCAAGAATTTACTCATTTATACAATGACAATCATGTCATCATCTTCTGGAACATCATCATAACAATCCAATTCCTGAATTTCCTGGTGAATTTCTTGTGACTCCATTTCTTTTAGAATCAGTGAACCAAATCTCTCATGTTTAGCAATAGCATTCTGAGACAAAGCCTAGGGGGGCCTTATTTTCAGGGGATGCCTTATATTTCACTCAGAAGGAAACCTGTAAGTAGGTCTTATTTTCAGAGGATGTCTTATTTTCAGGGAAACATGGTAGTGCGAAGGGAGAAAGTATAGAAGAAGGAAGAAGATTATGAGATAACCCACCCTGGAAAAGGTTTTTGAGTCAAGACCCAGAAATAGGAAAAAGCAGACGGTTGAGATAGTGCCTTCTTTATAAATTGAAAAACATGTATAAGGACCTGGAAACATTTCTGAATGAACTATAGTAGGAGCATTTGGCCATGTGCTTCATTTGGTCATGAGTTAGTTTAAATTCCTATCATATGCATTACCTTGGATATTCCTTAAGTAAATACTGTGAGGCTGGTACATGGAAATAAATCACCCAGCATCTACCTCTGGTCAAGTGATAAGCAATCACTGTTTCTTTGTGAAATATTGGCTCTGAGAGTCCAGGAAGTTTAAATATGCATGCTTAGCAAAGGAGGTGGAGGAAAAGTGACCTTTGCTTTTCCCCAAATACAAGTAATTTATAGAATTAGATGTGAAGTTCAACACCAGCATGGCTCAGGATTGAGTGAGCTCTGCAAACACTCTATGTGAGTAATGTGAGGTGCTTTTGTGAAGCCGAGTTATAAATGCTTCATTCAGGTTAAAATAATGGTGTTCATCAAACAAGCAATTAAACCCCAGGAAAAGGCTGGAATTTATAAGTTAGGGATAGAAAAGGCATGACAATTGGTAGGTTGTAAATGTCAGTGGCTGTGGTTGAGCTATCAAACCGGTGTTGATCATTGAGTAAAGATGGTTTAAAAGTTTAAGTGGTGTTTTTCTTTGCAAAATGTTAATAAGAGAGGCAGCATCCACTGGCCTCATCCCTGTGGCAGCATTTCCTCTGGAGACGAAGAAATGTGTGGAAAGAATTTCTGTTCAAGGCAAACAAGCCTGCTCGAATGGAAAGAAAATGTAACATGTGCGTATCCAGGGAGAAGATGAAAGCACCAGCATGTAAGGGGTCCAAACAGATGTTAGGATGGAGCCAGGTTGCTGTAACTGCCTGCTAACTCCCAGGGATTCAAAAATGGCAATAAGAACTGTCAGGAAATATTAGCATCCCAGTAAAGAACACGACATCATTGCACCAATACAGGCCATGAAAGACAGCAACCCAGGCCACACATAAACTCTCCATCAGAATGGCATATGAATTTCCTTCTTTATTTCATGAGTTATATCTCCCCTCTTTCCTTCACAATTGGCCCTAAGAGTTTATCACACCTTCCTTTGCCCAATAACTATGTAAACTTTTTTTTAGATCTTTTGCCACTCTCTCTTGCTTGTGTTAATGCCAGGAAAATATTTTGCTCCATTGGAGGCAAATTGGGGAGAATAGGGCAAACATTATTAGAGAGTTGAAT